GCTGAATGCATTTTGTCCAGTCCTTTGTGGCTGTAATCAATACAGCAACAAAAGAGGCTCCTTCCCATTTCAACACACACTTTTACAGCATTCTTATACTTAAGAGAGCAATTAATAAAATATGCCATTGCATTTCACTTCCAGATCAAACAGAGACAGATAACCCTCAACTAGAATAATGACCACAATTCATTTCTCTATTCAAATCACCGAGAGCATTTTAAATCCCTATTACCAAGGTTACATTCAAAGGGAGAAGGGGAGTCAAATCTTGCTGTGCCGACTGAAAATGAAAGGATGGTTTAAATGTGAGAAGGAATACAGCCACTCCTGTTTGGTGTAGGACTACTGAAACCACAGAACCACGAGAGTGGCACTTATTCCAGATTAATTGACCTTGAATGGAAGACAATGAAGAGAGTATCTTCTCACAGAGCCAGCTAGGTCGGCATGCCAGGGAGCACTCCAGAGCTGGAACCAATACATATTTTGCAGAATGCCAGCTCTGTACAGGTGTTTTGCACGGCAGGCTGCAAAATGGGAGCTTCTGGTTGCCTTAATCCTTCAGTCTCGATAGCAACTGAATTCATAATCGACAAAGAGAGGCTTCGGGGAGAAAGCTGCCACTCACTTGTCAGGATGAAAAATAGGTGGAAGGACCAGTCCATGCTTCCAAATGACTGGCAGAAGGGAGACGGAAGTGGGAGGACGGTTGCCTCCTCAAAAATGGCATGCTATTTTACAAGATTAATCTTCTTTCGGCCTCCTCTCCCAGAGCAAAAAAAGTAACTGGAGGTCTGCTTCTGCAAATCACTTCGGTAAAGTTAAATTAAAGACATTAAGTCTACTCGTGTCCAACTCTGGGGGTTGGTGCTCAACTCCATTTCTAAGCCGAAGAGCCAGCATTGTCCGTAGACACCTCCAAGGTGGCCAGCATGACTGCATGGAGCACTGTTATCTTCCCGCAGGAGCAGTACCTATTGACCTACTCACACTTGCATGTTTTCGAACTGCCAGGTTGGCAGAAGCTGGGCCTAACAGCACAAACTCACCCTGCTCCCCAGATTTAAATTGCCAACCTTTTGGTTAGTATGTTCAGCAACTGAGTGGTTTAATCTGCTGCGCCACCAAGGCACCATAAAGTTAGCCTCCTTTATTTCCCAAACAGGAGAAAGCCAGGAAATCTGTCCCAACAGCTCCCAATCAGACTTTCCATTAGCCTCAACAGAAAAATACATTCAGTGCACAAGTAATGTTTTTTTGTGTATCAAAACCACAAACTGCGTTGGACACCTTGGTAGATCAACAGGGACATCAGTGCATTAAATAAATAAAAGGAAATACCGCTTTAGTTTCCTGCTCTTGCCATGTGGGCCATTTACAGAATTGATCACATAGCATTTGGTGCAAATCATCAATACAGTGAGACATTTGGTTTAGAAATAGCAAGACATCTTTAAACACCATTTGTAAAACACTTTCTGAATGAGCAAAATTGCTCTGTAACCATCTCCATCCTGTGACACATATATTTATGTACTTCTTTAATATTCCACTTTTCTCCCACATGAGACCTAAAGTGGCTGACAATGATGGACTCCCATTGCAGATGATGTTATTGTCTAAGTTCACATGACCACATCTGTGCAAATCAGGCAAGAGACTGCGGGCAGGGATCGAGCAGAGCAAAATCAAAGAGTACCCCAGCACCCTTTTCAATTGGATATCATAGTGGGAAGGCCCAACTGCTAGAGAGGTAGCATCTCAAGCACAGAGCATGTAAGACCAGCAAATTGCTAGCTATTCACGTGGCTATTTATTTTACTTCCAGGGAGAGGGAAATGCCTTTGGGCGGTTTTCTAACTATGAGAAGCAGCTGAGGGAGCTGAGGATGTTTAATTTGGAGAGAGAAAATGACCATGCTGAAATACCTGAAAGGATGTCACATTGAGGAGGGGGTAAGCTTGTTTTTGCTGTTCTGTAGACTAGGATACTAAGCAAAGGATTCAAATTTCAGGAAAAGAGATCCCACCTAAACATAGAATAATAGAGTTGGAAGAAAACTTGTGGGCCATCCAGTCCAACCCCCTGCCAAGAAGCAGGAAAATCTCATTCAAGAAGCAAGAAGATTCCTGCAATGTTTAGCTTCTTAGAACATATTTATTTATTTATTAATAGAGGCTCCTCTCTGTTGTTATATCAGCCATTGACCAACCTCTCTTCCTTGAACATCCATAATTAATACTGCTTCCAGAAGTAAATGGGCCAGGCTTTAGCATAACTGGTTAATCACCAGCAGCAATAGATCACACCAATTGAAAGGTTGGCAGTTCAAAGCCCAGGTCAGGGTGAACACTGGACCTTCAGCCCAGCTCATTGTTCACCCAAGCAGTTTAAAAACAGCTGTGAGCGGTGAGTAGAGAAATTAGGCACCGCTTAAGCGAGGAGGTATTTTATAGCATCACAAAAAGGAAAACCAGAAAATGCTGGCAGCCAAAGAAATAGGAAGGCTGTGATCAAGGGCTCTTCATCATAGAGGATGGAGCAACAGCACCCCTCGGTGGCCGGAATTGAGCACAACTTCCAGGACACTGAAGTTGGGAAAAATGCTGACATACATATTTTTTTATTATGTTGAATTATTGCAATGTCTCTGCATTTGTCCAGTCATTGAATTTTTGCCTTTTTTGGGTGTAAATTACCCTGAGCCCCTTTGGGGAGAGAGGGCGGTCTATAAATAAAGTATTACTATTATTATTATTATTACTACTACTACTACTACTAGCCGTCCCCTGCCATGTGTTGCTGTGGCCCAGTCTGTGTATGTGTGTTTTTTGTGTGTATATATGTGCCTATATGTGGTTTTACGCATGCATTGTAATATATTTTTTATTATTTGGCTTTTTAAGTCTTTTCCGCTGTGTTTTTCTTAGTGATGGTCATTGGTTGGCCTGATAGGTGTATTGTGTCCAAATTTGGTGTCAATTTGCCCAGTGGTATTTGAATTATGTTAATCCCACAAATGAACATTAAATTTTTATTTATATAAGATTATTATTATTTGCAGATTTTGTGCAAATAATAATAATTATTGTGTGCTCCTCTAGTTGCTGTTGAATTGTATCTTCCAACAGTTCTAGCCAAGATAAACAAAACTGAAAAATGAATGTGCTTGTGGTCCAACAATGTCTGAAGATCACATGATTCCCATCCAATGCTTTAGTTGCATATCTAAGACCTGATATAGTCCTATTTTTTCTAAAACCCTATTATCTTCCTAATTAAAGGGGTGAGGCAGGTTATGCAATCACATAATAAATATTTACATAATGTTTGCAGTGATCATATAGACCAGGCATGGGCAAACTTCATCTCTCCAGGTGTTTTGGACTTCAACTCCCACAATTCTTAACAGCTGGTAGGCTGTTAGGAATTGTGGGAGTTGAAGTCCAAAACACCTGAAGGGCTGAAGTTTGCCCATGCCTAATATAGACTAACCCATTCAAAACCATAGCTTTATTTTACTTTAATTGCTGATGGATGTGAAGAAATAAAGCATCATCTCTGGTGCAAACATAGCTTTAATATTCCACGCACCACAGCATGTTTTATTTTAGAATTACATTGAAGTTCCCTGTCCTTCTTCCCACTTTGTTCACCTTTTGCCAGCAGTCCCCCAAGGGGAAAGATAGCGCAACCTTCAAATGCTGGGAAGTGATGAGGAACAATGCCTCGCAGACACTGACCTATGTTCTGGTTTCTGCTCCTCTCCGGCACAAGACTCAGGCTCAGCCTCCTGCTGCTTGAGCGAGGCAAAGCGATTCTCTCAAGCAGCATACTAAAGCCCTGGCTCCCTTACAGCCGGCCACAATGGTAGAAGGGACCACATGCTGGGTGGGAGGGACCCGGGAGTAAAAGTGCACTCCACAACAAGCAACAGCAGGCTCTGATCTGGCATTACTGTGCTTCAAATGGGGGGCAGGAGAGATGTTTGAACATAAGCAAAGGCTTTCTTTTGCAGAGCAAAGATGAGGCTGGTTGAGAAATGCGTGATTACTATAAGGCTCATCATCCTCAACCAACCTGATTTCTTTTTGTGTGTCAGGAACGATTTGAGAAATTGCTAGTCGCTTCTGGTGTGGGAGAATTGGCTATCTGCAAGGACGTTGCCCAGGGGATGCTCAAATGTTTCTATGTTTTACCATCCTTATGGGAGGCTTCTCTCATGTCCCCGCATGGGGAGCCGGAGCTGACAGAGGGAGCTCATCCACGCTCTGTCCGAATTCAAACCTCCAACCTGTTGGTCTTCAGTCCTACCGGCACAAGGGTTTAACCCATTGCGCCACCGAGGGGCTCCACCACCCTGATTAGAATGGGACTTGTAGTAGGAAGGAAACAATTGAGAAAGGGAAGCATGCCCTGCCAAGTCACAATACCCTTTCTTCTGGCACAAGGGAGTGGAGTCCTTTACAAATTGGCAAGGATCTGTCCTGACCTTTTGGAAGCCAGGGAACAATAAGGTAACCTTGGAATACCTGCACAGAGCTAGATGAGAAGGCTAGTTCTCTACAATGGATCAGTTCATGAGCCTTTGACCATTATTCAGGCCAGCTTAATTGTACCAAAGATGTGGCATGATTTCTGAAGAATCTCTGACAATGCTTCACCAGCAAATGGGCATCCTTTACCAGTATATGTTGAGGCCAATGGCAGTTATCACAATCAGAGAACAAACCCTAGCAGTTCATGCCCATTTTAAACCTAAGAAAGATGGGCTGTCTGATTTTTATTTTTGGGGTCATCTCAGGAGCTACTTGAGAAACTGGAGGTTGCTTCTGGTGTGAGAGAATTGGCCGTTGCCCAGGGGACGGCCTGATGATTTGTTTTTTATATATATATAATCCTTGTGGGAAGCTTCTCTCATGTCCCCGCATGAGGAGCTGGAGTTGATAGAGGGAGCTCATCCTCCTCTCCCTGGATTCGAACCTGCGATCTGTCGGTCTTCAGTCCTGCTGGCACAGGGCTTTAACCCACTGCGCCATCGGGGGCTGTCTCATATAGCAATAGCTTTCCCTGAACACTGAGCTCTTCAGAGCAAAGATTGGCAATTTCAATTACAAAGGTGTCTTTGTGGGCTGCTCTCCAGCTCTGAGTAAATAAAAAGTAAATTTTTCCCCTTGACATTAAGTCTAGTCGCATCCGACTCTGGTGGGTGGTGCTCATCTCCATTTCTAAGCCAAAGAGCCAACGTTGTCCATAGATGCCTCCAAGGTCATGTAGCCGGCATGACCGCATGGAGCGTCATTACCTTCCCACAGAAGCAGTACCTATTTATCTACTCACATTTACATACTAGGTTGGCAGAAGCTGGGCCTAACAGTAGAAGCTCACCCCACTCCCTGGGATTCGAACCACCGACCTTTAGGTCAGCAAGTTCAGCAACTCAGCGGTTTAACCCACTGCGGAGTAAAAAAAAGAGGGCTAGTGCAATATGAAGGTTTGAACACTCAATTCTGGAGACAAAGGTTTGAATTCTGTGAAACTTCACCTTGGGCAAGTCACACTCTCTTACCTTGGGAGAAAGGTAATGAAAAACCCTGTTTGACCTAATCTTGCCAAGAAAATCCCATGACAGGGTCGCCATGAGTTAAAAATGACCTGAAGGCATAAAACAACAAGAACAACAACAAAAGGGACCAGTTAACACAGCATCAGAGCAGATAGTGCACTGCACCTCCTGGGACTGACTGTGGTTTAAAAGGAGTACCTGGAATCCTCTAAACAAGGTGCTGATTGAGAGTTTAAAGCAAAGACAACAGGGAATAATCCAGTGGGGAATCCCATCACCTATGAAGCTCAAAAGAGCCAACTCTCCTTCTGTTGCACAAACCCCTTGCGAAGGATGAGGAAAACCAGATGGCTAGGAAGATTCCTTTGGAAAGAGCCTAGATGCAACTCCCAGCCCGAGCCACGTAGTTCTCATAGTTCTCCTCACACCGTCGGATGCAGCGGCAGAAATAGCTCTTGTCGGCAATGGCCTCCAGGAGGTCTGTTTGAACTAGACAAACATCATAAAGCTCTGAGGTGGGGACGTTCTGCAGATTGCAATTTTCTTGCCCTGAAAACACCTGCCGAGTTAAAGAACAAAAAGAAAAGGACTTTAGGACGAGTCAACGTTTTTTAGATGTTAAGAGAAAGAGGCAGAGGACTCTGGGAAGGTAGAAGCAAAGGAACAAGAAGGAATTCCAAACTTTTCTTTAGCTTTACAGATGGTGATGCTGCGTAATGGAGTTCAGATATAGAGAACTGCTGATATTAAGAACATCTAGAAGTTGTCAAAGGCTTTCATGGCCGGAATCACTGGGTTGCTGTGAGTTTTCTGAGCTGTATGGCCATGTTTCAGAAGCATTATCTCCCGATGTTTCGCCCACATCTATGGAAGGCATCCTCAGAGGTTGTGAGGTATACTGGGAACTAGGAAAGGGAGGTTTATATATCTGTGGAAGGTCAAGGGAACCACTGACCACATAGGGAAGCTGATGAAGAAAGATAATCTACAAACTATCTACAGACCCACTAAGAAAATCTAACAAATGCTATGTTCAGCAAAGGACAAGAGGGATCTTCTCACCTCTGCAGGAGTCTAATGTATATCATGTAGACTTGTCCAATGTGGACCAGTCTACATAGGACCACCAGACGCAGCATGGCCCAGACACGAATCAAGGAACATGAAAAGCACTGCAGACTAATTCAACCAGAGAAGTCAGCCATAGCAAAGCACTTGATGAACCAACCTGGACACAGCATATTATTTGAGAACACAGAAATGCTGGGTTACTCTAACAACCACCACACCAGACTACACAGAGAAGCCATTGAAATCCACAAGCATGTGGACAATTTCAACAGAAAGGAGGAAACCATGAAAATGAGCAAAATCTGGCTACCATTATTAAAAAATCTCTAAAATAAGGACAGTAAATAAAGAGCAACACTCAGAAACAGAGGAAGTTCGGACATGAAACAATCAGAGCCAGCTAACACCTCCCAACAAAGGATTCTCCCAGACAGCAACCAGCCAGGCCTTGAAGCTGCAAGGCTTTTAAATACTAATTATTAATTAACATTAATCATCAAGGTGATTAATTGAAACATTCACACTTGCCTCCAACAGATGAGAGTTCTTTCTCCCACCCTGGACATTCCACAGATATACAAACCTCCCTGGCCTGCTTTCCAATATACCTCACAGCCTCTGAGAATGCCTGCTATAGATGTAGGTGAAATGTCAGGAGAGAATGCTTCTGGAGCATGGCATACAGCCAGAAAACTCACAGCAACCCAACATTTATTGAGCTCCTAAAACAAGGGTAAGAGGGTATAAGGGTCAAAATACCAATTTGGTAGTGATTAGGCTTTGTGCTAGTGTTATTCTCTAGACCAGGGCTTTCCAAACAGTTCATGTTCCTGACACTAGACGTGCATTATTTCATACTACAATAGTTTAGTTTTACTAGCAAACCAGAGGTTAAACCAGTCCCTTATAAGTCACATACATAAATTGTAATATGCGGACACAACATTTTGTGAAATTGTATGCAGACACATCATCTTGTGAAAACCTTTCATTTCTATTTTTTAAAATATAGGAATTCTTGTTTATTTCACCTAGACTCAGAAGTTTCTCTTTATATTCAAGAGACACACTGACACACTGCAATCAGCACATTAGTGTGTCACAGCACACACTTTGGAAAGCTCTGCTCTAGACTCAGTAGAGACTACCTCTGTACTACTTCAGTTTAAATATCACTTGAGCGGAGACCGAGTGGACAGAGACAGATGCAAAACATCTCTCCATTCTGCAAATGGGGACTTGAATATCAATCAATTCTGCCAGTAGGATTGCAGTAGGATGCCAGCAGCTATTGAGAGGCCTCTTAATATCTTCCTTAGAGGGCTCTGCACACATCCCTGGTTGCCTCTAATGGTCAGCAAGCAGGCTCTCTTCTCCAGAGAGATTCCTGGTGACCGATCGCAGTCTTTCCTACATTCAAAGCAACAAAGCACCCCGAGAGGCTATTGTGAGGCCTATTGTGTGGATTCCAGCGGGACCTAATTAACCTTCTCTGACCAGCTGTTTCTCAGCCCACTGGTCTAGTCAGTACCTCAGAGCACATAACTCCCAGGTGCTGGCTTCTTCTTATAAGGGAAAGAAGCAGAGACAAAGAGCTGCTGCAATGGCCAGACCTCCCCTCCCCAGGACTTCTTAGATTGGGGCTGCTCTGGTGTGAAAGCTGCCCTTTCCACATGCCGCGCTGTGAATGAGCTTCAGGCAGCTTGGAGCCAGGCTGCTCGGATCCAGCAGGGAGAGAGGACTGAGTCATGCCAGCTGAGGACAGAAGGGGCTGTGCAGCCTGAGCAGACATCCAGCACCTGCTGTTCCATGCCAGCAAACAGTCCTCTTCTAATTACCTGTGGTGAGGACAGGTGTCTGCCTCCCTGCTCCCCCCCCTCCTTAGAGACCACAGCATGTCCAAGTAAAACAGAGGTGCTCAGAAGGTATCCAAGGTGACAGGCTTGAGGACAGCACAGGGGTTTGACATGCAGGGATCCAAAGGCACAGCTCCTTCACTCAGCCACAAAGAAGCCTTGGTGAGGGGCACAACGTCTCAGCCTGGCTTAACTCCCAGCATTGCTCTGGGGTGCTCACCTGTTGCCTATTAAATAGCATGGGGAAACTATGTTTTGTTGGTTATTGTTATCATTCAGCCCATGATTGTGTCTAATACTTGTGCACATGTGGACATAGACCATGGGGATTTGGGCCTCATGAGAATTTAAATCCTGAAAATGAGCAGTCTGTGTTTCCACCCAATAGTCAAGGCAACATTCCAGAGCGGCCAAGACAGTGCTGCAGAGCCATTCTCTGGGGAATGTTGTTCAGAGGATGAAATTCCAGGTGCTGACATTAATGAGCTACAAGATAATGAGGTAGTTGATCGGAGGTTTAGTTTTCATAAACTTTGGGCTGAGCAGCAAAATCTTGGATGTTCACGGCACCTATTACTGAAGAGGCCCATTTCTGAAACTCATGTGAGAAGGCATGACTTCATGTCTATATTAGGGAGGCCGGGAGCTTTTCCCAGCAGTCTGGTCAATGTTGATACTTGAGGCAACTGCTCATGCCAAGGGAAGTACAGTTCCGTGTTCTTGTCTGTGCATCTTGCTTCCAAGTTTGAAGAATTGTTCCTGTATTCTTCTACTGGATACGATGCTGCCTTGTACTTCCTGGCTTCGTTTGTATTCCTATGCTGGATGTTCTGGGATTCTTGAATACTTTTGTGCCTTGAACTTTGTGGACCATTTTTGCTTATGGAATTTGAAGTTTTGCTACTTTTGCTGAACTGCTTTTTATATAATTTTCAATAAATTGCTTTGCTGATTTAACTTGGTCTGGAGTGTGATGGTTAAGAGCAGATGTGTTTCCTGGCCTGGAGTGCAACGGGTATTACCTATAAAGCCTTAGATGACTCAGATCCAGGGTATTTGGCTGCCTGCACCTCCTTGTACAAACCTGCCTAGACCCTGAGATTCTAAGGAGGGGCCCTTCTCTCATTCCCACCTCCATTGCAAGCTCAGTTGGTGGGAACGAGAGAGAGGGCCTTCCTTCTCAGTGGCTGCCCCTCAACCTTGGAACTCCCTTCTTCCCTGGGAAGCCAGAATGGCCCCCTCCCTGCTGTCCTTCCAGCGGCAGACAAAAACCTTTTCATTCAGGCAGGCTTTTAAAGAAGGTTTTAAAGAACCAGTCAGGGGGTAATGTGGTTTTAGTTATGAAAAGGTTTTAATCAGGTTAAAGGGTTTTAACTGTATATTTTAAATATTTAATTCTATTTTAATAGTCTTATATTTTTAGGTTTTAAATTGCATTGCATTGGTTTTATCTGAAGCCACTTTGAGTCTCTTTCTTGGAGAGGAAAAGTGGGATAACAGCAACAACAATAATGTTATATAGTATATCATAGATTTTCTTTCTATTACATATTTTAAAATTCCAAAACATTTAAAGCATTGTGATGATGTTTATTTATAACCCTGCCTTTTCTCTCCACATAATACAACTGTCCTTTCACATCTTCTATTCCCAGATCCAGCATGGGAAAATTATCAAATTCCTTGAAAATGCAAAGAGCAGCCTTTCACAATAACTATACCTGCTGATGAACAATGGTGTCAGAATCATTCAGTCGAATGTTGTCGTCAATAAAGATGTGATGGACGTTTGGATCATGAGGATCGATCAAAAGAGGCTTTCCACCCTGGCTAGAGAATTGATTCTTGGCCCACCTGGAACACAATAAGAAACACAGTTGCAAACTCTCAGGGCTCTTTTAGCTCCTTTTGTTTTAAAGATTCTGATAAGGATCAATGGGGAGATCATTCCACCTGTTTCTTAAACTGCAGGAAAAGAAGGGAATGAATGGAAACAAATAAAAGAAACAAAATTTGAAGTGAATAGTCATAGAATCATAGAGTTGGAAGAGACCTCGTGGGCCATCCAGTCCAATCCCCTGCCATACAGGAAAAGCACAACCAAAGTCCACCCAAGAGGGCAATCCAGCCTCTGTTTAAAAGTCTCTAAAGGAGGAACCTCCACCACACTCTGAGGTAGAGAGTTCCACTGCTGAACAAGTTCTTGCAGTCAGGAAGTTTTTCCTTTTGTTCAGGTGGAATCTCCTTTCCTGTAGTTTGAAGCCATTGTTCCACGTCCTAGTCTCCAGGGCAGCAGAAAACATGTTTGCTCCCTCCTTCTCTCTATGACTTCCCCTCACATATTTATACATGGCCTTCATCATGTCTCCTCACAGCTTCTCAGCAGGCTAAACGTACCCAGCTCTTTAAGCTAGTTTTCATAGAGCTTGTTCTCCAGGCCCTTGTTCATTTCAGTCGCTCTCCTCTGGACACATTCCAGCTTGTCAACATCCCCTTGAACCCATTGCTCCAAGTCCTCGTTTCCAGAGCAGAAGAAAACAAGCCTGGTCCCTCTTCCTTATGACAATCTTTTAAGTATTTAAACATGGCTATCTTGTCCTTCTCTCAACCAAGTCTTCATTGACAAGCTAATATATTCTACCTGCATATCTATTATTCCATATGCCCACTCCTATACCATATGATTCATTCTGTTTCCAACACCCAAGGCTTAGATTTGTTGGAGGAGGTAAGAGATAAGATTATAAAGGGGATGACAGGACATTGAAGAGAATGGAGCTTAGAGACAGAAAGCAAATAAGGTCACTCAGGTAAGAAATAGCAGCCAATACAAACAGATGAAATGTTGTGCCAGGCATTTGTGACCCTTGTCTTGGCTTCTAGAACTGTCTTCTGATTTTGGAACCTTTACAAGGGATGCTAACCTATTTCCAAACTACTGATACAAATAACAGTGGTTATGATTTTTAAAAAAAATTGAAAGGAGCTCAAGATAACGTATGTCTGCAAATTAAATTCCAGATTTGGGAGATGAAAACTACAGATGGAGAAATTACATCCTGACTTCAGTGTGAATTTACTGCATTAGGATTATTTGTGTCCCATTGATCTGTGCAAACAATCTTTCAAGGAATCCAGCTCCTACTGGGTTCCTTTAAATATTCTGTTGGGGTGCTTTGAATGCGATTTTCCTGCTTCTTGGCAGGGGGTTGAACTGGATGGCCCATGAGGTCTCGTCCAACTCTATGATTCTACTGCAGCAGTAAAAACATTATCAGTCCTTGCTGAAGTCCTCAGGCATGGCAGGCCCTCTAGTACTCATTGATAGCTGTATTTAAAGATTTGATATGATGTCAGGTTTAGGAGGGGGCAAACTTGTTTTCTGCTCTGAAGACAAAAACACGGAGCAATGGATTCAAGCTACAGGAAAAGAGATTCCATGATATATGATTTTAAAGCTCTTTGCATGGTTTTTAATTTTGTTTTAAATGTTTTTAAATGTATATTGTTAAGGCATCGAATGGCTGCCTGGTTGTAAGCCGCCTTGAGTCAACACTTGATTCTATGACTATAGAAATAAGTTAATTAAACAAGATGTTTTTTAATAAATCTGATCCAAATGGCTTTTTGTCTGCTAATAAAATCAGCAATAAAAGTGTACAGGTTCGGCTTCCCTTATCCATAATTCTAACATCCAAAATACTTCAAAATTGTCCACATGGGTGGCTGCACCAATGACATCTTTGCTGTCCGATGGTTCAATGTATCCAAACATGGTTTCATGCACAAAATTATTAAAACATATTGTGTATGAAATTACCTTCAGATTATGTGTTTAAAGTATAAATAAAACATACATAAGTTTCATGTTTAGACTTAAGTCCCATCTCCAAAATACTTCATTATGGATATATACACAAAAACAGGAACCTCAAAATTGAAAACACTTCTGGTTCCAAGGTTTTTTGGATAAAGATAAAGAACATCTGTACTAAAAATGTTCTTTTGTTTCTCACCAATCAAAGTGATCCTGGAAGCCGCAGAGGCCTTCCCTGGAGCTGAAATAGGCATACATTTTCCTGCCGCCATCTTCAGTGGAGATCCGCTCTGTTCTATGGGTCAACACCACCTTCCTCTTGCTGCAACGTATCATGCCAGGACTGAGGTCTATAGGCAACTTGTGTAACAGGGAGATATAAGAGGAAACTGATTTCAAACTATTTCATTTTAGTAATCTATTTTGCACAAAACAGCAAACCTGAGACTATCTAAACCAGAGCTTTCCAAATTGTGTGTCGCAATCTGTTCATTTGTCAGGTGAAGTGTATAGGTATATCATGCGAATGTAACGAGAAATTCCTGAGTCCATGTAAAATAAGCAATACTTTATATATATATAAAATCATAAATTAAAGGTTTTCATAGAATGCTGCATACACATACATTTCCTTATTACAATTTATGCATGTGTCCACATCTCTTAGAAAGGGCTGCTTGAACCTCTGGAGTTTGTTAGTTAAACTGAATTACTATGTCAGAAAAGATGAATGTCTAGGGCTGGGCTTTAGCACAGCTGGTTAATCACCAGAAGCAATAGATCGCACCAATCAAAAAGTTGGCAGTTTGAAGCCCGGGTTGGGGTGAGTATCCAACCTTCAGCCCAGCTCACTGTCCACCTAAGCAGTTTAAAAACAGTTGTGAGCTGTGAGTAGAGAAATTAGGCACCACCTAAGCTGGAAGGTATTTCACAGCACCATAAAAAAGGAAGTACTAGAAAATGCCAGTGATCAAAGAAAGGAGGAAGTCTGTGATCAAGTTCTCTTCATCATAGAGAAGGGAGTGACAGCACCCCCCTGTGGCAAGAATCAAGAACAACCTCCAGGACGGTAAAGTTGGGAAAAATGCCGATATATACCTCTATCTGTTGTCTGCCCTGTCTGTTTAATGGCATTAAATGTTTGCTGTATATGTGTTCTGTCATCTGCCCTGAGTCCCCTTTGGGGTAAGAAGGGAGGAATATAAATGCTATAATTAATTAATTAATTAATTAATTAAATGTCTAAAAAGTGTGCTACCAACATGAGATATTTGGAAAGCTCTGTTCTGTGGAAGTTTAAGAAGATGGATTATTCAGAACACAAAGAAGATGAGATGAGTTTCTAACAGATCAGAAATTCAAGGCTGTCACAGCTGGTGAAATCTCACTCCACAAGGAAGCAGGAGTCTCATATCTTGGTGCATCAACCAGCTTGGAAGTTCCTCTCTGCTGCTTTCATCTCTTGTGTAATGGTCTATTCAAACTGGAAGGGCAGGGCAGGAGTGCAGTAAATAAACCAAACAAGAGTGTGGGGCTCAGGGCCCCCAGCAAAAATGGAAAAACTGCCATTAAAAAAATTACCTGAGAAAACATTTCTCTAAGAATCTCTAGGGCCTCATCTATACTGCCATATAAGGCCATTTAGTACTTGAGTTTGACACATGTTGTGTAGACTTATATAATGCAGTTTAACTGCACTGAACTACATTTTTGAGTCTACATTAACCATATAATGCAGTTCCAAATTGTATTATATGGCAGTGAAGATGAGGCCTAAATCATTCAGTGCAAATGCATGGTCAAAATCAGTTGGAGGTTGACTACAGAATCACAGTAGAGATGTGTTCTCTTTAGGAGTCTGAAGGACTGGAGACTGCTTAAGAAAGCATATTAATCAAATCTGTAATCAGTCAGATCTGCAAAGGTAAATGCACAAGTATGGATGATTGATATATATTTGTTTCTTACCAGATATTTAACAATAATGGATCTGATTTCTGAACACTCCACACACAGAGAAAGAAAATACCTCTATTGATATATTTTATTTATATACTGCTTTTCTCTACCCATTGGAGGATTAAAAGTGCTTCACAAATAATAAACTCAAAATTCAGTGCCTCACAAGATATACAACATGGGGGGGAGGGGGGGACAGGAGACAGTTCCACCTTGTCTCCTGTGTTATGTTAATAATATAATATAATTCAATGTAATATAATATATTGTATATACATATAATATTTATAATATTATAATGTAATAAAATATACTACTAATAATATTATGATATTACAATTATATATTTTATATTACATGTAATATTACTAATAATATTACAATATAATAGCATAGTACAATATAGTAATATATAATACTGATATTGTACTATGCTAATAATATAATATATTGTATGTATATATATCTTGTAAGAGGCTCTGAGTCCCCTTCGGGGTGAGAAGGACAGCATATAAATATCATAAATAAATAAATAAATATGTAACTAAAATAGCATACAATGATAGATTAAAATCAATGAGCTACAAAACATCAAACATAAATAACATAACATAAAACACTGGGCATTGCACCAAACCCGAAGTTATCTTGGCTGCTTCATCTCACTCTCCAAATGCTTGCTTAAAAAGCCACATCTTGAGTAATTTCCTAGCTGGCTTTTTACTTACAGATGTATCCCAATATGAGAAGTAGGGGAATAGACTCAGAAAATCTAAAAATATATGTCAATATTATAAACCGAGACACAAGACACAACCTCCCAAGCCTGTAAGACAGGTGCTTGGCTCAATAAACCCATTCACATTCTGTTCAGCTGAAAGTCTGAACAAAACTAAGCATACTGGGAAGAAGCAGAGTTTGGGTTTCTGATCCAACCCAACAGTGTCTCTCCACTCAGAAAACTGTAACACTGGCTGGGCTGAAGAAACAAAGAGAAATCTACCCACTCACCGAAATATCCTGCAGAGAAGGGAAGAGAGGGTGCTGCCCCTCCAGGGAGCAGTTCACCGCCCGTAGGATGCGGGGCAGGTCTGTGCCAAAGGTGCGGAAGATGACAGCAAAGTGTCTCCCTTCCCGGTGCAGACTCTCCAGGAGGCAGAAGAAGGAAGGCAGCACCAGGTGGTAGTGCTTGCCCTGCTCACCTTGAATGGAGAGCAGCGGGTGAGCCGGGCCCTGCCATTCCAGCAGCTTCAAGTGGCGCCGGTGAAGGTCGCGAAAACGCTGCCCTTTGTTCGTGTCCGTGAATTTGGTGTTTCGGCCATACTGAGAGTAAAAGCTTACAGCATCCGGGCAGGGGGGAAGAAAGGAGGGGGACTCGCTGAGCCACTGCCATTTACCTGAAACAGAAAGGTTGAGGAAGTCTGTTTTAAATTATCCTTTTTCTTCCACTCTTGGGTCATTATCTCCTTGCCTCCAGTCAATGCACTGCTATGGTAACGTTATATTATCCTAGTTTTTAAATTTAAGGTCCGTTAATGCTTTCTCTGTTTTCTTGCCCTCTGCCTATACATATTCAACAGTGTACTTTGGTGGTGACCTGGCAGCCTCAACTTGGTTATGAACATGCTTCGTAGCCACTTCCTACTAGGTTGGGGTCAAAATATTCATGTTGTTTTTGGAGTTATCATTAGTGTTTATGCTAATGTTCACCTATCTTCTGGGAACCACTGCTAAACATTGAAACTAACATCTAACCCAGTGTCTCCATTTCTGAGAAGGTCTATCTCACGATGTCTCTGTAACAACGGTAAGTAAGCTCTCTTTGTGGCTTTTCCTTTCCTTTCTCAATTTCCCTCATACACTTATTTACTACTTATTCATTGCATTTATGTACCACTTTTCTCACCCCTGGGGGCACTCAAGGCAGTTTACAACATACTAATAGCAAAACTTCAGTGCCAATATACAGCACACAAAGAAATCATAATAACAATTTACTACATATAACTATGAATTTAAAATGGATTAAAACCATTAAAACATAAGACATATATAAAATTTAAACATTTAGACAAAGCATAAAATCACCCTAGGATAAACATTTCTCTCTCTCTCCATTTCCTTGCTTTTCCTCATACATTTCCCTTTTTTCTTTTTCTTCCTTCTTTTACCCTTCTTTTTCTTTCCTTCCTTCCCCTCATACACACATCACCTAGCAATAGTCGCTTCACTTCCTTTCTTTCCCAGTGACATCACAGAGAATCTTTGCACCTGGCACAGCCAATCCACTTTGATCCTTTCCTTTCCACCTGCTCTGGGTCTGAAAAGGGTGGTTATTTGCATTAGATAATGACGAGTATGTGTGCCCAATTTGGTCCAAAAATAGTAAGTTATGTAGGAGTCTTTGTGATACAAATGGACAAACAATCAAATATACTTTGACATTAAATTCTACATATATCTGGAATACATTTACTATACTCGTCGGCTTTCCTTTCTGAGAAATCAATGTATATGGATTTTAATACTTATTAGTGTATTCAAACTATAAATTTGTTATTAATTTGAGTCAGACTTATTACCGCCTCTTCCTACCCTGTTTATACTATCTATATAAAACCAAAATCAAAAATTCCAAATGTACCCATAAAACATAAAGTTTCAAATCCTCACTTGGTCAAGAAGCTCACAGGCATTATTTTAAAGCAGTCTTAAATATCAAATATATCTCACAGGGTAGTAACTGTGAACTTAAAAGGCAAACAACCCGCAATGCCTTCTGGCAGGAAGGATAGGATGAAACATACAAATATTAAAATTTCAGTCCCACTGCTTTCTTCTTCTATTTCCAAATGTATTTTTTTCATTTAGTTAGTCATTCATTAAGTTAAATGGGAAATGCAGTCCTCAAAACAGCATACCAAAACCAACGCACAAATCGGTAGGCTGTTATAGGTTTTTGGGGCTATATGGCCATGTTCTAGAAGCATTCTCTCCTGATGTTTCACCTGCATCTATGGCAGGCATCCTCAGAGGTTATAAGGTCATCTCAACCTCTGAGGATGCCTGCCATAGATGAAGGCAAAATGTCAGGGGAGAAGGCTTCTAGAACATGGCCATATAGCCCGAAAAACCTACAACAGCCCAGTGATTCTGGCCATGAAAGCCTTCGACAATACAACACACAAATCCCACACTCATTCCCAGGAGCATCATCACTTTCCCCCTATTGCTTGCTTCTAATATACTTCATGCTATCTCCAAATTATTATTATTTAGAATGTGCTTCACATTGTGAAAGACACTAATGCTGATGCTACCAATAATGTCACATGACTCTTTTGCTGTTTTCACTGCAAAGAAATAACATAAATAACCCTCCAGAAATAACCCTCTTTGTTGGCTGTTACCAGATTGTGGAATTACAGCTTAAGGGAACTTTGCTTGGCTCCCTCTCTCCTTTACTTGGCAGGAGAAAAATGTGAAAATAATCAAATTCACAAAAGATTCCTTTCAGAATCTGAAAAGAAAAAATACATATCACACAGAGCTAAGCATGCATCAACACTGTAGAATTAATTCAACCTAATATCACTTTATCGGCTATGGCTCAATGCTGCGGAATCATGGAAATTGTCACTTGATGAGGCATCACTATCTTTTGGTAAAGAAAGCTAAAGACACTGAAGACATTTTCCATGATTCCCTAACATTGAGCCATGGCAGTTAAAGGGGCTTCAAATTGCATTAATTTCCACAGTGCAAGTACACCCCAAGTGAAATACTTCACCTAAATCATTTTATGTTCTGCAATCCAGCACAACTAAATCTGTAATTGCATAAACCAGGCCTATTGTATGATGATTATTATTTACTTACTGTATTTATATACTGCTTTTCTCACCCCTGGGGGGGACTCAAAAGTGGTTTATAACTAACTGAACCATTTGAAACTTTTTGTGTAATTGTACCGTGTTGCCATCATGAAACACACTGTTTTGAAATAGGGCCCCTTGTTTTGAAACACCTAGAATTATTCTGTTATTATTATAACAGAAGGTACATTATAAAACTTTATAACCTCACCTGAAGGGCCAACTTTTCCCCAGGTCACAGTAGTCAGGTAGCAGTTTAAAGCAGCTCTGGGATCCTGACCAGTGACAGCATCCGAGACGAGAATGGTGTTATTCAAATCAATGTGCAGAATCAGCTTCCGCTTCTTAGGGCTTAAGATTGTCTCAGAAAGAGGAACCACATTGGTGTTGGTTCCTGAATGCTGGCAAGCCACTTCTTTGTCTTCTTCTCCTTGCCATTTGGTATAATTGGCCCTGAAAACCTTGTCCTGTTCTACAGGATTTTGTACACCATTTCCAAGCCCATCGGTCGCAGAATGAGAGTTTTTTCTTTTCCTCAAACTGCCATGGTTAGAAACAGACTCTGAATCTACCAGTCCCACAGTCATCTCAGCAAAAAAAGGGGCCTGTTTAGGTTTCAAAATGTCAGAACTTCTTTTGGAAATATCATCTGCAGTCCGGTTTTCAGCAGGATCTCTTTCCTTCAAAACCATTGGGTCACTCATATTCTTGGCGGACATTACTGCATGGGTGAGAAAAAGAAATTAAGTGGTGATCATGAATCTTTTACTACAACTGCTGTGATGTAGTGGCTGGCTTACTCTCCTGAGCTTGGATCTGGGAAGCTCGGTTTTATTCAGCTGTAACACCCATGGCATGAATTCCAGGAAATTTTTACTTCTCAGCATGATGAATATCTGAGGGTTGTGTTGTGGATAAAACACTGCTGTGTGCTCCTAGGAGGAAGGTTGGAGGATACCAAGGTAACCAACTCATCAAGATGATTATCCTTGTCCTCAATATCTTCTGAGATCATCCATATTAAAGTACTATTTCCTTTATCAGGTGGAGGATGGAAAAAGAAAAATGTCAAGTTTCCAAGACTACCTCAAGCATGAGTGAAATCACACATTTACAAATGCAATGTGGTATAGAAGATCTGCAAACTAGCTGAGATGGGCAAATTGACTATGCTGATTAAGGATAACTTTTTGATCAACTTCAAGAAAGATTGGGACCTGTTTATCGCTTTCCCACAACAACATTGGAAACAAATGCCAATTGCGGGATTTATGAATTAAAAGAGTGTTACCAAAAGTAGAAATGTGGTTATACGGTATTATCTAAAGGGGGTAGAAAAATAGGAGATAAAACCCAGCAGATGCTAAGCGTGAGGTTCAGAGAATTGTACTCATGTCTGTTTGTTAGTGTAGTTTGTGTGCGCATGTCTATGTAGGTGTGTGTCTGGTTGGAGGGCTTGTTACAGATTTAGTTTTGTAGTTCATTAGTTCCATAGGTTTGGGCATTATATATTATTAAAACATATACTTCTTTTTGTATCATTACTTCTTTACTATGTTTCTCTTTTTCTAAATAAAAAATGAGTTAATCAAGAAAGGCTACACAGTACAATCCGCATATATTGGTACCAGTACAGCAGATGCCTTACACTGAACAACACAATTACTCCATCGAGTTCTGTGGTTCCCTATCTTATTTTGACCAGGGACCACTCTCCAACATTAGTACCAAAAGGGTTATGAATCTGTTTTTGGTTAACTTTAGATTCAGTTTGCAGGAAATTATTTTGTGGACTTAAAGTTACTATGCTAGCTGAGGATTTCTGTGAGTTTTTTACCGAAGCTTTGATAGGTTAAAACTGGCTTGCCAAGGTTGTGGACAATGATTCTTCTTAACCTGTCAGAATATGATCCACCAAATCTTGCCAAGTATAGTCACACACTGATTCTAAAATAAATCAGTTACTTTACTAAACAAGGATACTTTATATACACATCAAAGAGGTGTAAAAATCCTGCAGCTCTTCACATTTTGCTGAATGAAAAGTCCAGATGCCTACACGAGTCTAACCAATTATAAGGAATGATGGGAGCTCCAGTAAGGAGCATCTAAAAGGCAACTTGTTACCATCCCTGTTCTGCACCCAGCTCTTAGTTCTAACTATTCTGCCTTCTAGTGTTTAACGGACCTTACATGACTGCTAATTTACCAAGTACTCATTAATACAGGGATATATCCCAGTTCTATTGGGGACTAGCAACTGGATTTCGGCCTATCTGTTTCTAATTCACATACATAACTACAGACATAACTAATGGAGTAGAGCTGGAAAAAGTATGAGGGACTGAGATTCCCAAACCATTCTCCTCCATTCTGATCTCTCTCTCCTTCTTCCTGATTATATTCTCTCCCACGTGAGTACAGCATAATAAGCAGCCTCTTACTATCATTTCACAATAATCCTGACACACACAAAAAGGAAGCATTTCTTTACATAACTGTACCTACACACGTCATTGCCACAAGATGTAGTGGTAAGCATTAGCAGAAAGCACATGTTTTTCATGTGTGTTTTCAAAGGATTAGTCAGTGTCAAACATTGGGACTCAGTCTACCACTCACTATTAGTCACGATTTTATCTATGTGGGATGGTTTTAGAGACATTTCCCACATATTTGACTGATCATTATGCTGGGTATACACAGTGGGATAAATTCATTCTCACACATTCGGATCTCCATTCTCACAAGGCTACAATGCCTGACCAATCATATAATAGAGTGATAAGAGTCCTGGACTACATGAACTTTTGATTTGATACACAGTGGTATTGCTGCCAATGAACTCATTTGCAACCTATGACAAACATAATATTAGGTCATCAATGCAAAGCTATTTGTGTTACCACCAATTATGGTTTGTTAATGGCCACTGCTAACGTAGTGATCGCTATTAATACTTCTGGTATTTCAGTTATCAATTACATTTCCTACACAAACAACTGCATCATGAGTACAAACATTTCCAACTGGTGCATCTACACCGTGGAATGAATGCAGTATGGCATTACTTTAGGGCTCAATGTTATGGAATTGTGGGATTTGTAGTTTTACATGGTCTTTAGCCTTCTTTGCCATAATGCAGGTGCCTCATTAAGCTATAAACCCCTTGATTCTATAACACTGACCCACAGCAGTTAAAGTGGTGTCAAACTGCATTAATTCTGAAGATGCATCTTGAGGCAGCACTTACATCAAGCAAATTAAAGCTCACAAAAGCTTATACCAAAATAAAACACGTTTGCTTTTAAAGTACTATAAGACTGTTTTAACTGCACTGTACTCTGCTTTAAGGTGCGTAACAAATACAAATGTATTGTTACCAGTATTACTATTATAACTTCCAAAATATCTTGGAATATGTGAATACCAGCAGTCCATTCACAGTACAGAATCATAGGACTACAATTTTGCTTTGACTGCCATGGCTATATACAATCAAATGCTGTAAACTACAAATCTCAAAACCTCATAAAATGTTGTCACAATTGTTAACACTCTTGTGGAGTTTGTTTCCAAAAGGTATCAAATTAAAATAAATTCTAGGTGGCAGCACATTGCTTGCTAGGAGTAGAATATTACCAGTGTGTACAGATCAAAACTGTCAAAATGTATCAAATCACTTCTGTATAGGGTTAGGAACATGGCATTTTCTCGCCAAAGAATGTATATTCTCAGCATGTTCTTTTTTCCAACTCTCATAAAATTTGTTCAGATGGATTTGGTATTTAGTCATGTATTTACTGTTTCAGAAAAGAACTGAAGGTACAATTATAATGTATTTAAAAACACAAAGTTAAACTTGGCACTATACTACTGTAAATATCCTTTGACCAGAAGCTGGCCACTTGGAGTGCCTCTGGTGGATTTGGTACCTTTCGGAAACAAGCTATGTTTCTGGGTTGTTGTAGGTTTTTTCGGGCTATATGGCCATGTTCTAGAGGCATTTTCTCCTGACGTTTCGCCTGCATCTATGATAAGCATCCTCAGAGATAGTAAGCTATGTTTTTGCCATGAGAGACCAATAAAGGGCTCTGCTCCTCAACATTTACATTTCCTACTATGTATAGAGGCAGTCCCTGAGTTACAAGGATCCAACTTACAAACAACTCACAGTTAAGAATGGAAGTGAGAGAAATCTACCTCTTAGAAGGGAAACTCACAACTGAGAGTGGTCATGGGGAAAGGGTGTCTCCACTGACGCTTTCCCACCACTCCTTATTTCCACAACAAGCCAAATTTTTCAAAATCCAATGATCACAGAGATAGAAAGAGAGGTGAAATCTTCTTAACAGGGGCAACAGACAGTAAAGGAAACACCACAAGGTGTTAACCACTTTGAGTCACCTTTGGGGAGATAAAGCAGGGTATAAATAATAATAATAATAATAATAATAATAATAATAATAATAATAACCCTTCCCTATGCTATCCAAAGCTCTCTCTTTCTCTAAAAATGCACCTGTTCCAACTTACATACACATTCAACTTAAAAACAAACCTACGGACCTTATCTTGTTCGCAACTTGTGGACTGCCTGTATGACTAGTGATATTTTGGCAACAAAAAGAAAACATACCTCTCAAATTGAACAGAAAAGAAACTTAAATTCCATCATCACACACACAAATAATAATAACTTTATTTATATCCTGCCCCATCTTCCTGAAGGGACCTTAGGCAGCTTACAAGGCAACAATAGTGCAACGCAGAACATATAAAATACAACAAAAATTAGCCAAAATCAATAAACAGCACCAAATAACATAATACTAATAAATAAACTTTATGTATACCCCGCCACCATCTCCCCAAGGAGGAGCCCCCGGTGGCCCAGTGGGACTGAAGACCGACAGGTTGCAGGTTCGAATCCGGGGAGAGGCGGATGAGCTCCAGCTCCTCATGCGGGGACATGAGAGAATCCTCTCACAAGGATGATAAAAACATCAAATCATCCAGGCATCCCCTGGGCAACATCCTTGCGGACGGCCAATTCTCTCACACCAGAAGCGACTTGAAGTTTCTCAAGTTACTCCTGACAGAACAAAAAAAAATCTCCCCAAGGGACTCGGAGCGGCTTACATGAGGCCAAGCCCAACAACACATCAATAAAACAAAAAGCAATAAACAAAAAATACAATACAATTAATATAAATCACATATAAACAACAACCAATAAACAGTAACACACAAGGATTTAAAAACCTATGGCCGGGCCAAATGTAATAGTTTAAAAATTAAAAAATAAATGCTGGCTATGAACAAGGTAGGATATATCTGGTATAGGGTTTTAAAAGAGAGATGTGGGAGCGCAGTCAATCCTAAACCAGAACAACTGCTGCTCTGGGCCAGAGCGAAGAGAGGGGAGGCCAGGGGACAGTTTCACCTTATCTCCTATGCTATTCTAATAATATAATATAATATATATTGTATAAACATATAATATTTATAATATTATAATGTAATATAATACTAATAATAATAATATGATATAATTATATATTTATATTACATGTAATATTACTAATAATATTACAATATAATTGGTATAGTATAACATAGCAATATTTTAAACTGATATTGTACTATGCTAATAATATAATGTATTGTATGTATATATACCTTGTAAGCCGCTCTGAGTCCCCTTCGGGGTGAGAAGGGCGGCATATAAATGTCATAAATAAATAAATAAATAAACCAGTAGTAAAGTGCATTCTGAGGACATATTGCTGGGAATTTTCCTTATTCTGGGAAGGCACACTGGAACAGCCACGTTTTCAGGCTCCTCCTAAAGATTGCCAGAGTTGGGGCATGCCTGATGTCCTTGGGAAGTGAGTTCCAGAGTTGGGGGATATAACAACATACAGGGATTTACATAAAACACCTCAATCAAAATGAAATGACCAGTAAAACACAACAATAAATTGTAGTTAAAAGCAAGCTATAAAAACCAAGTGTAGCGTCCCAGCCACAAAAGATGAAAAAAAAATCAGCATTCAAATGTCAGAGTAAATAATATCTAAATGTTCTCCTCAATAACTACCTACACTTCATCATCATCATCACTTTATTTCTTAATTAGTCACTCTCCACCAAAGTGCTCCGAGTGACTTACAATTTAAAATAGCTTATAAATATTATAAACATAATATAAAACATTCAATATAAAAACATTCAACATAAAAAAATTCAGCAGTGACTATGGCAAAATTTGATCCGATTACTTAAATGCACAACCAAACAGCCAAGTCTTGAGCGCCTTTACAAAAGGTCGCAACTCCGACATTGCTCTAATATATGGAGGCAATGAGTTCCACAGAATTGGAGCATAGATCCAATTCTTCAAGTCATAAAGGAATCATAATTGTACATGACTTTCCTAGAAATTAATGCTAGCATAACTTACTTTCGAAGGAACAAACTTACAGCTGCCTTCTCTGTCTGAAGTCAATGTTAATTTGGAAGAATACCAACCGCACACAGTCAAACTGAACACATGTTGGATTAATTAAAGCCTGTGATTGCATTAGTAAAGATTACCTCTTCTGCTGGTGGAGAAATCTGCCAACTGTGGAGTCAGCAACAAGCTAAACAAAAACAATTTCCTCAAATTTCCTTGTTTTCTCCATTCTTACCTTGACAATATGTCGTCAGCTTAATTCCTTCTAATATCTCAAGCCTATGGAAAAGCACACCTTTTTCTTAAATATTATATCAGTTTTAATTTATTTTGAGTACTGAATGTAAAAGCACTTGATAACAATGACATACCTGATAAGTTAATTCTCAGATTCGACATTTTGATCAAGTGCGGCCTTGGGTGCCTCTACACTGTGGAATTAACACAGTTTGGCACCGCTTTAACTGCCATGGCTCAAGGCTATGGGGCCCTGGGAGTTGTAGTTGGGTGAGGCACCAGCAGAGAAGGCTAAAGGCCTTGAAAATCTACAACTTCCACGGTCCCACAACCGCGCTTTCATAGAAGCCTCCCCTCTGCCATTCAAGTTCTGAACTTACCTCTGCCCGGCTTCTCACTTCCGCTCCGGTGCCTTCTCGGTTGGTTTTCCGCTGGCGGCTAGAGCGCCCGTCCCGTCTCACTTCCGGCTGCGGCGCCCTCTGGCGGCTGGAGTGGGTTTTTCTCAGCTGCTTCTGGAAAAAGGAAGGGAAAGTGGAAGCATCTCTAGAAAGAAATGAAGGGAAAGTGGGAGCATCTATTGAAAACCACAAGCATGTTGTAGACAATTTCAACAGAAAGGAAGAAACGATGAAAATGAACAGAATTTGGCAACCAGTATTAATAAACTCTGAAATCACGACAGTAAATAAAGAGCAATACTAAAAAAAGGGAATTCCAGACAAAAATAAATCACAATCAGGGCCAGCTAACACCTCCCAACAAGGGATTTTCCCCAGGCAAGAAGCAGCCAGGCTTTGAAGCTGCAAGGCTAATCAAGGTGGCCAATACAACTTTCACACTTGCCTCCAACAGAAATGCGTTCTTTCTCCCACTCTGGACATTATTCCACAGATATATAAACCTCACTTGCCTAGTTTCCAACAGACCTCACAACCTCTGAGGATGCCTGTCATAGATGTGGGTGAAACGTCAGGAGAGAATGCTTCCTGGAACATGGGCATACAGCCTGGAAAATTTATTTAATTATTTCAAATATTTGTATCCCACCCTTCTCAACCCCTGGGGGGACGGGGACTCAGAGCGGCTCCCAGCCGGCACAATTCAATGTCTACGTGAGCACATAACTATACATAATAAAACCAATAATTGCATACAATTAAAGCATTAAATGCATTCAATTAAAATATGCTTAAATATAACAGCCATATGGCCTTATCTAGCTGAGATTCTGAGATCAGAGACTCCATCAAGCTTGTCCATAGTCCACTTGTCCTCATTGTCAATATCCTTGTCAGTATAGTCATCTAAAGGCCTGGTACCACATCCAAGTTTTCAACTTTTTTCTGAAGGAGCGGAGGGATGAAGATGACCGAATTCACAGCAACCCATCTCTAAAATGAATGCAGTTAAGTGGCACCACTTGTATTGCCGTGGCTCAAGGCTATGGAGTTATGGGAGTTGTAGTTAATTTTTTCTTTATTTCTATCCCGCTTTTCTCCCAGATCGGGACTCAAAGCGGTGAACAACCCGTCAACAAAAAACATTACAACCACAAAAAATAAACATAGCAATTATCAAACCAAAACCTCTCATGTAAAGTTATAAAGCCCGCAACAAGACAATAAAGAGCTAACCCAACATAATTTAAACAATCAGTAGAATTTTAAAAATCTCAAGGTCTTTAGTTTCCCTGCCACTGAGTGGTGGTGACCCAACAAACTACAAACCACAGGATTCCATAGCATTGAGATATGGCAGTTCAATCGGTGCCAAACCACATTCATTCTACAGTGTAGGCTGGTAGGCTGTTAGGAATTGTGGGAGTTGTTTTCCTCCTTCAATCCACCCTCCAATCCTATAAATGGGACAGTCCTCTCTCTAGCACCCCTTGGTGGGCCTCCACCGGATAATGGAACAGTACACTACAGTATAGATCAGTGATTCCCAACCTTTAGACCTCCAGATGTTTTGGACTTCAACTCCCAGAAATCCCAGGTGTAAGGAATTGTGGGAGCTGAAGTCCAAACATGGAGGCCCAAAGGTTGGGAACCACTGGTATAAATGCACCCCTTAGATACTAAAGTTGTATAGTCTCTGATCTCTGTTTTTTGCACCTTCCTCTGCTTCACAGGTGTACCAGATGGACAAATCCAAAAACTTGAAGTCTTCTTGGGTAGCTAGGATTTCTTTTTTGTTCAATTTGGGTGAAATGGCCACATTTTCCTTCCCATCAGAGAACGGAGTTACGCCATCACACAATCTCCCTCTCCGGCAAAAACAAATCTGCCCAACCTAATTTGCATAATAGGTAAATCAATGGAAATTGTGCAAATCAAGTGTACCTTCTTGGCAGTGTGCCTCATTTACATAAATTTCTTGCAAATTTTTCCTCCCAATCCACAACAAGAATGAAGAGGAAGAAAGAAATCTACTCCTCAGGAATATATATTTTCCCTCTGAATCCCTTCTTTTAAAGACCATATAAATGGGCTGTATATCTGTAATATTATTGAAACCCTGGACCCCAAAACCCCTTAGACAGGAGAGGTGCCACGAAGGGGTTCCATTGGCTGACACCCAGAAACACCCTTTTTTTTCTAGAAACACAATTGCACAAGCACTTCCTGGAGGGAACAGGGCTAATCTCTCTATTCCATTATTCCTCTAGGCAGCTGGCATAATCATCTGGTGACCATCCTACCTGGCCAACAGTGAACCTTCCCATCCAACAAATGAATTAATCCCTAGACAACTGGAAAGGACATCGAGACACCCAACTCTCTGCCTTTGTTTCTCCTTGAGAACCCAACAAGGTGTTTCGGCACCCATTGTTTGCTCAGCCTGGACCCATTGTGACATCCTGGATGACAGGGTAAAATCTATTAAAGGCCATCAACCCCATATGTTGCCTACATTCCTTTCCTCACGCTCCCAAAGAAGGCAGAGACAGAAACATGCCATAAGCTTTAAACTGAGCAATGGCCGCTTATTAAATTTCCCAGCAGACAAGGAAAGCAATCACCTACAGCAGCGGACAGTGTGCTTTCACTAATCAAAACTTACACCAATCAACTCCCAGAGAGGAAGAAGTCCATTTGTTGAATAGTTGTCAAGCCTCTTAGAATGATAGAATCATAGAGTTGGAAGAGACTCATGGACCATCCAGTCCAAACTGCCAAGAAGCAGGAAAATCACATTCAAAGCACCCCTGACATATGGCCATCCAGCCTCTGTTTAAAAGTCTCCAAAGAAGGAGCCTCCACCACACTCCAGGGCAGAGAGTTCCACTGCTGAACGGCTCTCACAGCTGGGAAGTTCTTCCTCATGTTCAGATGGAATCTCCTTTCTTGTAGTCTGAAGCCATTGTTCCACGTCCTAGTCTCCAGGGCAGCAGAAAACAAGCTTGCTCCCTCCTCCCTATGACTTCCTCTCACATATTTATACATGGCCCTCATCATATCTCCTCTTAGCCTTCTCTTTTGCAGGCTAAACATGCCCAGCTCTTTAAGCCGTTCCTCATAGGGCTTGTTCTCCACACCCTTGATCAGTTTAGTCGCCCTCCTCTGGACACATTCCAGTTTGTCAACATCTCCCTTCAATCAATGTCCCTGTTTTATGTCTGATTTGATAGTGCATTCTCTTTGATATCCACTTTTGGCCAAAATGATTAAAGCCTCTGATCCTTGCCTTCAACCTGCTCATGTCTGGTTTCATCTTTTGAAGCCTAGGCATGTCCGGACCCCAAACCCATGGTTCTTATGGAGATGAAATCACATATCAATAAAGAGGGTGACCTGTTAAAAGATCAATGTATTTATAATTTGTTGAGGCATCAGCACTCTAGGGCAAAGGGGCTAAAGACCTTGCAAAACTATAACTCCGATAATTGCACAGCAATAAGACATGGCAGTTAAAGTGGTGTGAAACTGCATTAGTTCTATAGTGTAGGTGCACTGAGAGAAAGAAGGGTAGGAGACTGATTGAGTAGTAGTTTGATTGTGTTGCCTTTGTATGGGCAAATTAGACCTGATATTAAACAAAGAATGCCAAATGAAGCAATTGCCATATTTTATGTCAATGGATTGCTTGCTTATTAGTGCTCAGGGCCTATTGATGTTTCTACAGTTGGATGAAGATGGCTACTTAGGGACTTTTAATAACAAGAAGATGGTTCTTCCAGGAGCAATTATGGCTGCTGAGCCATGGCTAAATCTTAAGAAACTAGGAGATGCATTTAAAGAAAGAAAATAATATGCACCCAGTTCAGGAAAAGAAGGGAAGAGTGCAGAATCTTTCCCTTCTTTATAGTTTTAAGCAAAGGCAAATGGTTCGGTCTCGCTTATTTTATATGTGCCTACTCATTAATAATTTTTACCATAATGACCACATGTTGCTTTGCCGCACGTTGTCTGATTTGCATCTGCTTAATGCTAGCAAGTATGTAATAGATATGATGGGTCTATCTTCCTCAGAATCAGAAGCTAACTTTATATAGCAATTTATGGGGAACAGGCAAATGTGTATCCTCCTGTGTCATAATCCAGGAAACTGCATCAAGGTGAGAGGGTTTATGTGTTAACTTGAAACAAATAAAATTATCCTACAAAGAACAAATAGTAGTTCAAAGGTGAAATAGATCCCCTCTATTCTGCCTTGTTAAGACCACACCTGGAATACTGTGTCCAAGGGAATGTGTCCAGAGGAAGATGACTAAAATGATCAAGGGTCTGGAGAACAAGCCCTATGAGGAGTGGCTGAAAGAGCTGGGCATGTTTAGCCTGCAGAAGGGAAGACTGAGAGGAGACATGATGAGGACCATGTGAGGGGAAGTCATAGGGAGGAGGGAGCAAGTTTGTTTTCTGCTGCCCTGGAGGCTAGGACACAGAACAATAGCTTCAAACTACAGGAAAGGAGATTCTTTTTTTTTTAAAAAATAATCTTTATTAAATATTTAGTTTACCATTAAAATGACAGTAAGAAATGGAAACAGAAAGAAAAAAAAAGGAAGGAAAATCTATATAAAAATTAGAAAGAAGAAAAGATAAAGAAGAGAAAAGAAAAAAAGGAAATAATAATAATAATAATAATAATAATAATAATAATAATGAAACAAAACAAAAGATATGAACATTGTTTTGACTTCCTGGTGTCTTCTGAAGGTCAGATTTCTTTTCCTTCTTTCCTCTTCTCTTTCGACAGGAAAGGAGATTCCACCTGAAAATGAGGAACTTCCTAATGGTGAGAGCTGTTTAGCAGTGGAACTCTCTGCCACAGAGTGTGGTGGAGGCTCCTTCTATGGAGGCTTTTAAACAGAGGCTGGATGACCATCTGTTAGAGGTGCTTTGAAAGTGATTATCCTGCTTCTTGGACTGGAT